ACCTCCGAGCAGATGGGTGTAAATCAGGCTTGTTAAGGAATGCCTATATAAATCAGACCTGGAGAACTGCAGATTGTGGAAGCAACATGTCACAACCCTGTGAACTTCTTTTTATATATATATATATATATCAACCCTGTCAACTTGACCACAATTCTGGACTCTGCCTGCCACCTGTGACCTTCAGACGGACCCTTGGTTCTGTTTTTTGGACCTGCTTGAGCCTTGCTGATCAATGACCTCGGACTGCCTTGAATCGGCTTTCCTGAACAACCCATGGACTCCGTCTGCTGCTAAACTGGTATTTGATCTCTGGACTGGACTCTTGACTGTGATCTAGTTCTGTTGCTTTGCTCTGCCTGTATTCTGGGACAGCTTGCTCAGTCCATGTAACTCAGGGTGCAAAGTCCCACACAACACTATCCTTCCTTTTTCTGGGAGCTTCTCCTGAGGCATGAGAGATTCCCAGATACACACATCCCCCCCGTCAAGACGTCAGGTGACTTACAGTCAGGGGTCATTTCCTGCAGGAGCGCACAGGAGCGGAGCTCCGGCAGTAAAGAGCCCAGGGGGGCGGGACATGCCAGAAGCCCCGCCCCCTTCTCCCAGCAGCCCCGGGCCATGAGGAGCAAGAAGCAGCCAGGTAAGTTGCAGTGGGTGTTGCCTTCTGACACACTTCTGGTGATGTCAGGGGGTGTGGCATATGCAAATAAGTTATGCTAATGAGCTATGCTAATGAGCTCCTGCGCCTCTTTTTCTACGAAATGACCCCTGCTTACAGTGATTAGGGATAAGAATGTTATGAGCAGGAAAAGAGTACTTTTAAAAAAACATCAATCTGGTATTGATTAATAACGAAGTGATTAGTCACTAAGGCGCTTACAATAAAGTCCTGTGCAGAGTTACTCCAGTCAAAACCTGTCGATATCAAAAGGCTTAGACTGGAGTCACTAGATAGGAGGTCACCGCTAGAATACCATGATAATATTATAGAGCTCCAGAAACACACACAGTCCCTTTCACTCCCAATACTTACTTGGCAAATCCAATGAAATCTTCATGGTTTGTATTCATGTAGGCCAGCTCGATGTCTATCAGCAGCATGACCTGGGGAGGGAAGATAAGGAGAAAAGAAGTAAAATGAGAACTACCGATGAAATCAATCGACTTATGAAGGGATCGATGCTGAGCTATACACATAAGAACATACGACTTTATTCCAATTTTATTACTTTGCAAACATTACTACCCAGTGACTCTGGCAAAATTCGCCGTAGTAGTTTAGGGGAAGGGAAGATGTCTTCTGAACCCCCTGTAAGACAGACAGATTATTCCCGTCCCAAGGGTCCACTGGCATTTCATCCTCATCCTTGGAAATAATTGCCTTGGAGGTCAAGGTGACCACTAGGACAGGTACCAATGGGACTTGCAGGCAGGGGTCATTTCGTAGAAAAAGAGCTAGGGGAACTCATTAGCATAACTCATTAGCATATGCCACACACCCTGACATCAGGGGCCCGGCCGTGGACCTGCAAGGCCAGCGGGAGTGCGAGGAAGCCCCGCAAAGGCCCTCCCTGGCCCCAGGCAGGCAGGGGTGGGGAGAGGCGAGGAGGAAGCAACTTATCCTCCCTCTTCTCCTGCCTCCTCCTGGCTGAATGAGGGCTGGAAGCGGGGCGGCCGGAAGCAGGGGGCGGGGCTTTGTCATGTGCCCCGCCCCCCTGCACCTCACCTGGGGGAACTGCGTTCCCCCGCGTTCCCCCCCCCCGAAATGACCCCTGCTTGCAGGTAATTTATTTTATTTTATTGGATTTATGAATCGCCCACCCTGCAAGCAGGCTCTGAGCGATTTACAGCCTTAAAACATTTAAAATACAATGGACATATAATTAAAATTATCACAGTAAAACAGTAAATTATGAATTAAATCCAATCCAAGATGGCATAATAGTCCTTTGCTGGCCACACCGCTGACCTGCATGGCAAGGCAGGGAAGGGCATGTGGGGGCCATAGAAGAAAAAGAGAAGCTGCGAGTCACAACCTCCCATTGCGGCCCTCAACTAAAAGCCTGGTGGAATTGCATCAAATCCCGCAGGGCCCTGATGCTATTTGGCAAAGAGTTCCACCAGGTCAAGGACAGCCGGACCTCCTTAGGACCACCGATCACCAGACACATTATTTTCAGGTAAGCCATGACGTCTATGGGAACAGAGTAGAATTTCATGATCAGACTAATGAGGACCCTCAGCCTAGAGAGTTTGGGCCACTCTTGGTCCAGAAGCCCTTGGAAGAACTCAGAAAAGAGACTGGTAGGGACAGATTTCAAGCAATGAAAACTGAGAGCTCAAATAGTAGAATAGATTCCTGTATCTCATCAGGAAAGCCTCCCTCAGATACTAGTTTTCCACACACAAGAAATCTGTATAATAATGCCTTCACCTAAAGTCTGAAATGGTAGAGGTAACAGGCTCCCCATGTTCTGGGAGCCAGAAGTGACATTGCATGATGAACCTATGTTACCCGGTAGTGACATAGGCACACCGGTGACATTGAGGGTGATACTCTGGTTTTTGGGCAAAACTCTATTGTAAAATCAGCCTCAAACTATGTATTGCCAAACAAAACCCACAGAGTGTCACCCCCCCCACGTCACTAACGTGCCTACATCACTTCTGGTGATGCAGGCACATCACATTTATTTCCGGCGATATTGCTGAGGTGGAGAAATTACCTCCCCCCAGCCAGCTGGCTGATGGCGTGTAGGAGCCCACAAAACAAAGGTATCCCCTGCCCTAACTAGAGAATGGTAACCCTACTCTATACATGCCCTATCAGAAGTTAAAATATAGGACAGAATCCAGGAAGTTACAGTTCACTACAGAGTTACCATTACCTTGAAGCTTCCTCCAGCTCTACAGGATAGCACCTGGCTAAATGGCCTATCAGAACCCTCTGGCCAGTCCCTTCATGCGCACGATGCCGGGGTGGTACTCGTGCAGAGCCTCTAATACTTGTTCCCTTAGCTTGGGGGGAACCACCACCCTGTTACCCCAGAGTAAGTATCCCCGGTGCACAGATAATTCATTTTGCCGTGATGCAAACGGCTTAAAACAGTCATCGACGCGCCCCACCAGTTACCCCCTCCACACCCAGTTAAGAACCCTGGCGATGGTGGGGTCCCGGGCGGAGGCGGTCGCAATGTCCGACGCATGCACCGGAGGTTTGGCCAGTTCCTCGAGGGCCATCACCTCGAAAGCCGGTGCAGGGTCAATGTCCAGTTCTTGTAGGGGACAACGGCTGAGGGCGTCGACATGCCCAATGTTTTTCCCAGGCCGGTGTTCGAGGACATAATCGTACGCCGACATAAACACCATCCAGCGCAACATCCATGCAGATAAGATGTTGGGCGTCTGGCGGTCAGGTGCAAAGATTCCAAGGAGGGGCTTGTGGTCCGTGGCCATTACAAATGGTCTTCCATACAAAAAGTCATGAAACCTTTTTACTCCGGCCACTAGCGCCAACCCCTCCTTGTCGATTTGGGCATAGTTCCTCTCGGCCGGGGTGAGTGTCCGAGAGTAGTATGCAATTGGTGCTTCCCTGTTGTTAGCCAGCACATGGGTCAACACAGCCCCCACCCCATACGAGGACGCGTCCGTAGCCAATACCAATTGCTTGGATTTGTCATAATAAAACGGGGTCTTAAAGGTGCCACTGGACTGTTTTGGATTGCTAGCTATTGGGGGGGGGCGTGCAGATCTGTTCTCACAGAGGAGGGAGAGCTCGTACCTGAATAAAACGGGGTCTTAAAGGTGCCACTGGACTGTTTTGGATTGCTAGCTATTGGGGGGGGGCGTGCAGATCTGTTCTCACAGAGGAGGGAGAGCTCGTACCTGAATAAAACGGGGTCTTAAAGGTGCCACTGGACTGTTTTGGATTGCTAGCTATTGGGGGGGGGCGTGCAGATCTGTTCTCACAGAGGAGGGAGAGCTCGTACCTGAATAAAACGGGGTCTTAAAGGTGCCACTGGACTGTTTTGGATTGCTAGCTATTGGGGGGGGCATGCAGATCTGTCCTCACAGAGGAGGGAGAGCTCGTACCTGAATAAAACTCGGTCTTAAGGGTGCCACTGGACTGTTTGGGGGCCCGGGGGGGGGGCTCTGCAACGTACCCGGCTGCTTTTTGCTCTGACTGAGGGCTGCTGGGAGCAGGGGGCGGGGCTTGTTGCATGTGCCCGCCCCCTGGGCTCTTTACTACCGGAGCTCCGCTCCTGTGCGCTCCTGCAGGAAATGACCCCTGGTTTTAGAATATTTCTATGCTGCCTCTTCAGAGTCCTGCTCCTCTCTTTAATTCATATTCTTTAAATTGTATGTCTCGTTTCTGGAACCCTGAAGGCTTGACTGGATTTCTGTAATTGGTGGGAGGCGAAGGAGACGGTCCCTGAGTGCTCTCGGTGAGACTGGGGGACACAGGGGTAGGGGAGAGGGAAGACCATTTAAAAACTAGAAAGGAGGGATTTCCTTTATGTGTGTGTGTATGTGAAAGCAGCAGCTTTCTCTGTGCCAGACATCCACGGGGGCTCGCCTTCGCTTTTCCTCTTCGTTGCACTGCTGCGCCCTTCAACAAGCAATATTGGGAAGAAATTCGACAGAAGTGTGAGGAAACATAACAAATTCCTGCCTCTCGTATAGATATCAAAGGGATTTAAAAACCCCTTCCAGAAGGGGACCAATAGTGAAAACCTAATGTTTTCTCTCCCTTCCTTTATGTTTCTTGGGGACATACAGCCCTAGAATCATAGAGTTGGAAGGGACCTCCAGGGTCATCTAGTCCAACCCCCTGCACGATGCAGGAAATTCACAAATACCCCTCCCCCCCACACACACACACTCAGTTACCTGTTCCACTCCCAGAAGATGACAAAAACCCTCCAGGATCTCCAGCCAAACTGGCCTGGAGAAAAACTGCTCCCTGTCCCCAAAGTGGCGACCAGCCATTTCCCTGGGCGTGCAAGAAAGGGCCACAAGAGCTAAGCACTGAGGCGACCCTTCCTGCCCTCCCTTCTCGTGATCTGCCCAAGTTCACAGAATCAGCATTGCTGTCAGATGGCCATCGCGCCTCTCTTTAAAAACCTCCTGTCCCAAACCAGTCTCTTTCTTATCTCTGTTCAAAGGCCCTAAACATTGAAACAATAAAATCTCAGTAGATGTTCTGCTATTAATTTTATTACGGTCTATATAATTTATCTAAGTGCCCAGATATGTGCTGGACTCCGGGCTCTTTTTGTAGCAGGAACTCCTTTGCATATTAGGCGACACACCCCTAATGTAGCCAATCTTCCAAGAGCTTACAGTAGCCCTTGTAAGAAGAGCTCTGTAAGCTCTTGGAGGATTGGCTACATTAGGGGTGTGTCGCCTAATAGGCAAAGGAGTTCCTGCTACAAAAAGAGCCCCGGACTGGGCAGACCTTACCCAATGGATTTCTCTGCCTAACATACCTCGCCGAGTTGTTGCAAGGATAAAGTGGAGGGGAGAATCATGTGGGCTGCCCTGAGATCTTTGGATAAAAATGGGCAGGGTAACAATGCATTAAATGAATTCATAAAACTTTGAGGGAGAGGAGAATAAAAGTGTACTAAATGAATGGATAAAACTTTTTCAACCCTAAGGCTCTACACAGCCAGACCACCTTAACATTTGAGAAATTTCACTCCAGATTCAGATTTATAGCAAAAGTCCCAGCATTTTATGAGGTAAACTGACCCCATAAAGAAGGCTTAATTTACTCTACTGAGGGCCTAAATTTTTTAATGTATTCTGGCTTTCTCTTGTTTTCTATGAAATTGCTACACGTCAGTTCAGAAAACTAGGCCAAATGTGCTTTTTCCACAGTCAATGTTCTGCTGTATTTTTCCATTTTAGCCTAAAACATAGTAACATTTGCCTTAAAAACATGCTTAACAATCTTTGATAGGAAGCCCAATAGAAATTACGTTCTAAGCCTTTATCATGTCTCTGGTGATATTTCAGCAAGTTTTTATAAGACTCAGGGTCACAAAGATACCACAAAATGGCAGAAAGGGGAAGAGAGAAGGAGGGAGAGAGAAAGGAAGGAAGGCCTTTGAAAATCAAAATATTCCTGTTCCAACAAGTCAGTAGGGTTTCCAGCCTCCAGGTGGGGCCTGGGGATCTTCTGCTTTTACAACTGATCTCCAGCTGACAGAGATCAGTTCCCCTGGAGAAAATGGCTGCTTTGAAGGGTGGACTCTATGGCATTGCACCATGCTGAGGCCCCTCCCCTCCCCAAAACCCCCCCTCTCCCGGCTCCACCCCCAAAGTCTCCAGGTATTTCCCAACCCAGACCTGGCAACCCTACAGGTCAGAGTTAGTATTTTAATCATGGATCATTTTGAATTAAGTAAAGGTAAAGGTTCCCTTGCTCGAAACCCAGTCGAATCCGACTCTAGGGTTGCGGTGCTCATCTCAGTTTCAAAGACGAAGGGCCAGCGCTGTCCGAAGACGTTTCCGTAGTCATGTGGCCGGCACGACTAAACACCAAGGTGCACGGAACGCTGTTACCTTCCCACCGAAGTGGTACCTATTTATCTACTTGCAATTTCTTGCTTTCGAACTGCTAGGTTGGCAGGAGCTGGAACTAGAGACGGGAGCTCACTCTGTCATGTGGCGCACTCGGGTCTCGAACTGCAGAACTACTGACCTTTCACAGCCTGCAGTTCAGCGTCTTAACCACTTGAGCCACCGCAGCTCCTTTTGAATTACTTCATAGCTCATTTTGAATTCCTTGTATCCAAAAGGTCTGGAAGATTATTTGGAGGGAAAACCCATAAGCACATGAGTATTTTTAAAGCCGTTCTAGCTATGATCCAAAAATTGGAACAAGGGAACTATAAAAGAAGCAGAATTATGAGCATGATGTACTACAAAGAGACATGGGGGAAAATCCATTTTTAGTTGCTTGCAGATCCAGTGTCAAAAAGGGAGGGGAGAGGGCAAGGAGAACCCACCAAACAAGCTAGTGACCACAGACACATTGCTGGAACTGAACTGGCCACAGCTTTATCGGTCACAACTGATAGAGCCTTGCCGCAGCATGAGGCAGTGGATCCAGGCATCTGCCGACCCACCTGCTGGGCGATGGACACTCACCACCCCAGCCAGCCTGCTGGAGGATACCAATGGACACTCCACCCATCCCCCAGCAGGGAGGCCAAGTGACTGAGATATTCAAAATACTTCCTTTTGGGGATTTTTGGAAGTCTAGGCCTGTAATGTATTCAATAGCTGCCATTGAATGCACAACTGTATGTGAACAACATAATTGAAATGCTATGTTAAACTTCGTCCTGGGCTAGGATCCAAATACATCCAATCACACTGCTAGCCCAGGAAGAACCTAACCAATCACTATCAGCAAGCTCCCTGAGCGGGAACGTCCGTGATCGGTCCTTATGCATACAACCTTATTGGTTGGTAATTGTACAGTAGGCGTGGCTACATTAGCCAGGAGAGTTTAAAAGCAGGACAGCTGCAATGTAAAAGCTGTTCTGGCGATCAGATGTTGATCCGTGTTGGAGTTGTGTTTGAGTAACTGAATAAAGCTGAATCTTTGCTGAATCACTCTCCGACTACTTTGTTAAGTGAGCGACTTAACAAGGCCACAATTATTGGAGACTAAAACAACAGGAATTACGATGAAAATTAATAGAACAACGTTTGAGTCCAGGGGCACCTTTAAGACAAAGTTTTATTCGAGGTATGAGCTGACGTGTGTATGCACACTTCCTCAGATGCATGCCCACGAAAGCTCATCCCTTGAATAAAACTTTGTTGGTCTTAAAGGTGCCACTGGACTCAAACGTTGTTCTGTTGTTTCAGACCAACACAGCCACCCCACCTGAATCTATCTTAATGAAAATTAATAACCCTAATGGATTGGAGGACAGAAGAAAGGAGCGGTCCCTGTCTGAGAGGGCATTTTCAAGGTTTGAGAAGAGAGACTGAGGTAAAATTTGTGGAGGTAAACCAAACCAACATGATCTGCCCTTGTGAACCGAGAGCTACAATTCCATAATGTTGCGGGGAAGAGGAGAACAGCTCCCAATTTAGCCACTGGTGGAGCACCTCAGAAAACACACATCAAATCAAAGTCCTAACTTCAGGTTTCATTAGTTTTAAACGACGTATCATAGATAGTAACAGCTTCATAGAATGAGGGTTGCCAACAGGCCTGGAGAAAAATGTTTGGTGTAGTGGTTAAGTGCGCCGACTCTAATCTGGGAGAACCGGGTTTGATTCCCCACTCCTCCACTTGCACCTGCTGGATGACCTTGGGCAAGCCATAGTTCTGATAAGAGCTGTCCTTGAAAAAGAGCAGTTTCGGTCAAGAGCTCTCTCAGCCCCACCTGCCTCACAGGGTGCCTGTTGTGGGGAGGGGAAGGGGAAGGAGTTTGTCAGCCGCTCTGAGACACCTTTGGGTAGTGAAGAGTGGGGTATAAATCCAATCTCTTTTTCTTTTTCTTCTTCTTTTTAATGGTGGTTTGTTCAGATGTTGTTTATCAGGCAATGATATCCACCTCCATGCCATGAGGAGCTTCAGCTACCCATTTCCACACTCTGAGCCTGTTAAATGAATAGGACAATTTCCTCTAGGCCTTCCAGAACGTTCCACACCTTTTTGGTGTAGTCGTTAAGTGCGCGGACTCTAATCTGGGAGAACCGGGTTTGATTCCCCACTCCTCCACTTGCACCTGCTGATGTGACCTTGGGCAAGCCTTAGTTCTGGCACAGCTGTCCTTGAAAAAGAG